AATAATACAGCAGCTAAGCACATCTTTCTTTTGTCTTTATGCACTATTATCCATAACCAAAGGAATCTTTTGACAAGAGCTGTAGCAAGAACCCCGTGGTAGTAGAACATTGTGTCTAAGTGGATGCCCAGCACTTTTGCTGCGATAGATGTTTAGTTCAACTAACTAGTTCAACCAGTAGAGCAGTGGGAATACCGTTTTCAGTGTCAGTTATGAACACTGTTGAAGAAGGAGCTGTTTCTGATGGCTTAGACCCAATTTTGAGACAAAATATTTCATTACATAAAAGCTGTATATATTTGTTAAATAGCAGTATCTCATAATTGTGCCTTAGTGTTTAAACAGAAAAAGTCTTTTTTGCTTCTTCATCTGTAAATACAAAATGTATCCAGTATTTAAAGTCACTGTTTGCTTGGGTTTCATTCTTACCATGTTTATATACTGAGCAAAAATGTGTCTTTGCTTGTCCTTCTTGGTTCCTACTGCTCTCAGCATGGGAAGGTTTCCTTCCATGCGAAGTAGAACTCAGCTCAGCAGCTGCAGCAGCAAAGGGCCAGTGTTGCTCCGCGGAGAGGAAGAAACTGGGAACTCATTGGTCTGTCCAGCATCAGAGTGCTGTTGTTGAACCAGGAGCTGAAGGTTTCCAGCCGCTAAGGAGCTGTTTTGAACTGTGGGCTATCCTAGTTGTGGTATCCTACATAGCTGCCTATCACTTATTTTCAGAGCAGTTTTGTGTATCTTTAATTGTTTTCTGTATAAACAGATGAGTCTCCTTTAGCAAGCACTGCATGCTTCTTGCCCTAAATCATTCTGTGTCAAAGCAGGTTTCTTACAGCTACGTTAAATAGTTCATGGCATCAAACTCTGTCAAAGCAAAGCCTTTAAGTCCAACTGATTGAACATTCATACACTCCCATCAGCCTTTCATGGGTGGTGATACTAGCATGTATTATATATATGCTTACTTTAGTGAATGCCGTTTGGCTTCTTTGTTTACAGGAGTTGGTGTATTTCTAGAACCAGTGCTGTTAGTCACTGATCCTGTCAGATACAGAACAGAACCTGAGAGCAAGTGGGGCTTTAGCACCTTGAGGGGAATTCACCTCTACTTAAATTCTTTGGGCAACAATAGACTTACCTGTCATTGATCTACACGGAGATCTTTGCTCGTTTCCAACATCAGTCGATTCTAGACTTTCAGCTATCTTCTCTTTAGTCTTTCACCTTTTTTCGTCACTGATAAAACTGATTTACCACTTAAAGCCTCGACAAGTTAAGCATGTAGTAATCTGCTGCTAATTTTACAGAATGGAATACCCTTTATGGCTAGTTACAGTGTTGTTTTAATGATCTTTGAAATAATATCCCTCAAACTGTTTAAATTCCATCCTTTCTCCTTTTAAACTGTCTCTGTCTGCAAATGTATACAACTTTTTTAGATATTTATAAGAGCAAGGCCATAGTACTCTGCTGCGAGCTCCTGGATCTTGTAGTCCTTTGATCCACTGGAGAGGAACTGAAGCAGCAGCAGTTTTACTTAAACACTGTGAATTCATGATCTTGAAGCATATCCTTAGCAATGGCATCGTCCCCTGTAGGTGGCAAACAGAGCAGTCTGTACATGTTAGAGCAGCTGGTTTACTCCTCTGATCTGGGAAGGCAAGCTTTTCATTGGTAACTTCCATACACTCTTCCAAATTTGTCTTTATACCTTCAGGAGCATATTTCTATTGTTGCTGTCATTATTAAAATGTTTGTATTACAAGGGAGAAGTTATGCAATGGACAAGGGGGCTTGATATTTATAAAATAAGTATCTCATGTCAATTTTCCACTTACTTCAAATTTCACTACATGCTTCACCTTTCTTTTACACTTTGCATTTAGATATTTCTGGAATGTCAAATCTTTAGCTTAGCCCAGGCAACTAGGGAATTACATATTTGTCCTGTTTGCAAAAGCAGGTAACCGAGCACCACTAAAATTGTCATTAATGTGAACTGCCTACTTGCAGAATACCATCCCTAAGTATTCAATATACAGATTAGAAATTGAAAATAGGGTTAGGTGGGGCTTGGTGAGGTCATCTAGCCCATTCCCCTTCTCAAGGGTAAATTAGGGTTTGTGAGTAAATGTTTACCTGTTCCTAAAAACCTCTCTTTAGAGACATTTTACAGTATTTCCAGGCATCTATTCCAGCACTTAACTCCATTACCAGTAGAAAGTTATTACTGAATACAAATATCTCTTGCTGCAATTTAAAAGCGGTACTTTTGATCCACCCACAGTGGAAATCCATTTGCTCTTTATAGCTCTTACATTTTTGAAGGCAGTTAATATGTTTCTTTCTGTCTTCTCTACGTGACTCTCCATCCTTCAGCTCTTCCCTGACAACTATGCTTTATTTAGTCCTCTGGTCATTTCCACTGTTTTCCTCCGGACTCCCTCTAGTTGGTCCACAATATTATTGAATGAAGGAGCCCCAGACTGGGCACTATGTTCCATCCACAGCCTGATCAGTGCCAGAGTAGAAATGTAATTTCATGTGTCTAACAGTCAGTGCTGTTGTTTATATGTGCTAGTATGTGGTTTGGCTTTTTGCTTGCAGCAGGGTATAGTTGACTACTAGGCTCCTCACATCTTTTTCTCAGTCAGTTGTCGTGTATTTGTGCATTTGACTATTCCAAAGCAGAAAAATTTGCAGCCACTGTCACCAAACTGCTGTATCTGAAATCCAATTCTTCCTGAGCTGTATCTCTGATTTCCCAGTATTATTTTCGATTCTAACTGTGCCCTTCAGTATCCTTGCAGTTTATCCCAATGTTAGCAGATTTAATGAGCTGAAACACTTTTCTTTCACCCATTGGAAATATTAAAGAGTATTGGACTTGAGACAAATCCTCACTCAATATATTGTTCCTGTCTGAAAATGGTAACTACACTCTGGTTGTCCAAGAGACTGTTCTATGCAGCTAATAGCAAGTTCTCCTGGCCTATGCATTTTGCTTATGAGTATGTCATGACACCGTGTCAAAAGCCATACTGAAAACAAAATGCAGAACGTCTTTGGTTTCGTTCTATTCATAAGACCTGTTACTGCATTGGAAAATGAAATTGGAGTGATTTGACATCTTCTATTCTCAGCAAACCCACACCGGCTGTCACTTATCTCCTTGCTACCTTCCAAATAGCTCCCTGTAAATTTTGCTTGATTATTTCTTCCAATGTTTTCCAATGATTTGAAGCTGATTTGCCCATAATTTTACTATTTTACTTCTCTTTTTAAACTTGGGCACCAGTCTCTTTTCTGGTTTTAGCAATTTTTCTTGCCACCTGCAGGTTTTCAAAGTCTATAAAAATTTTGAGATTTGTTAGCTGAAGTATTTCAAGATGAGTTTCGTCAGACCCAGCTTATACCAAAATAGCTAAGTTATTTAAGTGCTCTCTAACACAGTGTTTCAATATATTCTAACCAGCCTTCTCACCATTTTTTTTGTGCGTGCCAATCCTGCCTAATGAAAACGCCTGGACCCTGCCTGAGTGAGTCAAAAACATCATTCAACACTCAATCTTCTTCTTTTTTTTTAATCCCTTTTCTTCTTTCCCCCTAAAGGCAAACTTGAAGTTTCCTGTGACAACCTACAGCGTACTACAGTACCTTTAACACAGCCTGCCATATACATAGAAAACAAAGATCCAATCCCTGAAGAGCAGGTAAAAAAAAAAATAGGACTGTTTAAAATAATAATTGGGGCTTGTTTGCAGTATCCATTCCTTTTTCAGTTGCTTGTGCAGTGACCTTCTTGTCTTGCCGAGACAGATCAAGTAGGTAGCCGGTGTCATTTCATAATTTGACTTATAGACAAAAATGATGTGTATTCCTTTTGCTGTTCCATGGGGAGGTATTCCCCATCCTGGAAAAAAGAGCACTAGCATTCACTTCTTCTCATATATATCATTAGAAATAAGTGACAAAAGGAGAGCAGCAACACAATTCAGGGTAATATAGAAAAAAATGTGAATTGCTAAAAGGCGGTATTTAAAATAGAGTCCTACTTGCATATTGTGGGATGAACTGACACAGCTGCAGAAGTGACAAGCTCCAGAACAAACCAGCCTGCCTCCAGTTTGAGTAATCTCTGCATTTTTGGATACCTAAAACAGACTGTGACACTGAACAGTTTTGTGGTGCTTGGGGAACTCATGTGCGATGGTTGGGCTGTCTTGAAGAGAGGCTGGCCCCCTCCATCCCAGAACTGAGTGGCAGATGCGTTCTGAAAGCGGATTGAACACCCATGCTCTGCCCTGTCCCTCCCTCGCCTTCTCCCAAGCCTGCCCCACATGTATTCTCTCTAGATTTTTTTCAATATCAAAGAGTTGGGACTAATAACGTTACTGGCTGTCTGTTATAACATAAATGGAGCTCTGTTTTGTCATGCTTGTAAGCCAATATAGTTAAAATTGGAGGAGGAGTTTGCTATTCTCAACATCCTCTTAATAAGAATTTACATAAGTTAAATTAGCAAGATGCCTGACTGAGGAAGAATTGCTTACACTGTAAATTTAAAAAAAAAAACCACCACATCGGCATTGCTTATTTCCACCTGTAATCATGGGGAAATGGACTCCCATTTTCAAGGTATATCACTTGATCACACTTGTGTATGAAAGTAAATCCTAGGTGACTGCAGTAAGGTTAACTTTCAGTGAGTGGACTTGCTCCAAAATTATACAAATATAACTGAGAGCAGTGTCAGATCCCCTGGCTCTGCTCAAACAGGGCTCCATCCTATTACTGTGGTTGGCTTGTGTTGAGGTCACTTGATCATGCATCAGATTGTAGGACAGGGTCTACACTGACAGTGAAGATCAAAATTTTTTTTCTTTCTTTCTTTCTTTAGGAATTGGAAGCATATGTGGATTATTCAGATACGGAGAATGAATACAAAAGGGAAGATTTTTACTGCTTTTCCCAGGAAGAAAGAGAGAGACAAGAACGAGAGAGACAGGAATCTAAGAGGGTGTTACAAGAATTGAAATCTGTACTGGGATTTAAAGCTTCAGAAATAGAAAGACAGAAATGGAAACAGCTGCTATTCAGTGACCATGGTAAGCATTGCTTTTGAAAATTAATTGCTTTCTAAGAAAGGGTAGGTGTCTATTTGCCATCAACATCTGACTATGTTAGAATTTGGACAGTGCTTAGCTATAGTAGTGTCTTTGATAGAGCTGTGTGGCCTTAGTTTGCTATTCCATCTCTTTATATTACTCGTAGCAATCATTTTACTATATATTGAAAAGAACTCGCTGAAATGGGAATTTGGCTCTAAACAAAATATTGAGCTAAAATATTAAAACACACAAAATATTAAGACAGGATAAAGAGAACTGTCAGGCTATAAACAACGCAAACTGAACTGACTTTCTTTCATGGCTTTCCAGTAAATATGAATTTTAATCAGGGTGCATAAATAAATTACTTTTCAGAATTTAAAGAAACCATCAGAAATTATCCCAGACTTACAAAAATATATAGGTTAAGGTCAAGAGCTAGACTTTGAAATATTAAAGGCTCATAAAAGAGTAAGACTGGCTTTTGTTTCCATGAAAGAGTGAGTATACAGAATATGTTAAAAAAAAAAAACAACAAACAACAAAAACCTAACAAGAAGAGTTCTTCCAAACTAGCCTTTACTAACTCTGAGGACTGCTGGGTAGCTCCATCCACTTGCACTTGAAGGCAGGAATATGAAAATTTCTCTTGCCTCAACAAGATAGTCTGTCTCTGTTCCAGCAATAAGACTGGATACAACTTGACTCCTTTCACTGCTTGAGCTGTTTGATTTATTATCTTTAAAATTGGCAGTAGTTTGTCTTTTCCTTTTTCCTTTCTTTTTCCCATTTTCATTCCTTCCTCTTAAAGACAGGTTAGGAAAAGTCCTCTAAAAATTTCATGTTCTATGTTATGAAAAACAACCCTCAGGTCTGGCAACATATCCAAGGATTCTGCCTCTGCCAGTGTCTACCAGAAAAAAAGACCATGGATTGCGTCTTTCAATAATTTCGTGGGAACACGCCGGAACAGACCATACCTATTTCTGAGACTGTTTCTTTTGACATCAAACCCACAAAAACATCTGCTCTTCACAACTTTCTTCTTTATGTCCATTTAGCTACAAATATGGTAAAAGAAATCACTTGGCTGTTGGTATTGACTTCTCTTCTAGTTGAGTTAAAAAAACATCAGATTGCATCAGAGTCTGCTCAAGAGCAGGACTTCTGTATTATCCTTCTTCTGGTCTTAAATGTGACACCACACAACTCTTCACATAAATCTCTTCAAGTCTTCCTTTCCTCCCTGTTGAAGGGAGAAGGAGGGAACCCTACCTCCAGTTCAGGTCTTGACAGATCTAGTGACTGCTGCAGAAGGAGTTCTCGTCAGGAGAGCTTGCATAGGATATTTCCTTATCGAGGTCAGCAGCTGATACCTGTCAGTGTATCCTCAGGCCACTTGTCGCCATAGCTGGAAAGAGTCAGCTGACTCCTGTAGTCTTCAGTAACTGTTCACCTGAAAGCCTTTGGGGCTCATGTTGGTTCCTTTCCTTTCCATGTATAGATATTACATTGTTTTAGGATTAGAGATTCAGTGGTGGGGAGGGAGGAGGGTATGATTTCCTCCAGCTGCCTAGGACTAATCATTGATTACTTCCATCCTGTACAAAACTGGAAAACATGAGCGCGGTTCATGAAAGTAATAAATATTGTCTCCTTTTGGCTCGGAGACTGCGTGTGTCTGATCTGAAAGACTGATATGGACAGCAGACATAACATCTTCTGGTTTTTAAGGAATTTCTTCATTATTTCTTCAAAAGAAACACAAGTCAGTTAAGTACGACATAATGGACCCTGGTATATTACTGCTGCAGACTTTAATTTATCCATACACACGAGTCATTCCTTAAAGAAACATTTTTATGAGCTGTGCTTTCCACATTTGTGGCTTGCTTTATCTTGAAGATTTAAACCCAGAAAGGTTCATATTCTTGTCTCCCCATTGGCCCAAGCCCAACAGATGGCCGTGATATCACACTTTTCCATAGCCCTCTTAAATCTTGCTTTTACAGGACGATCGTATTCCAGAAATCCTGTGTTCTCCTAACTTGTGATTATTGTGATAAACGATCCTGAAATACTCAAAGGCTTTAATCTGTTAGTCAAGGCACCCGGCAAGCCATTCTGATTTGTTAGGGTTTTTGGTTCGTTGAAGGAGGGGGCTGGTGAGGGTTTCCACATAAAAGAGGTCAGCTCCAAACAAGTTGATACGTCTAAAGAACACAGCGTGAAGTCAACTGGAGATGATAGGTTGGATTCCAGAAGAAAAACATCTTAGCAGAGCACCAGACTAAAGCAAAGTTGCCCAGGCCCAGCACCATGTCCTGCTTACGGTCTGGGCGGTAGGTAATTTATGGGAGTGTAGGTGAGCTTGTATTTTTGGCCCTTTGGCATCCTGTTGAGCCAGTAAAATGGAAGTGCTTTTGAAGAGGTCTGTGAAGCTGTCACTGGCTTCATTTTCATTTGTCAAACATTGTAAAACAACTTTCTTCTGGTGCAAAATCACTTCTAGCCTTTCCCCTAACCTTTCCCCCCAAAAAAGTTCATTCTGTCAGTGGTTGCGTTGTACCCAGCTGTTTCCCCTTCTCACACCTTGTCCATACAACAGTTCTTACACAGCTCTTTCTCAGATTTGGAAAGCTACGCTCTGAGAATTGATGAATTCCACCTTGCTTATTAACTAATCAACTCGGCAAATTGGCCAGCTACCAATCTGAAGTATCTATTTATTTTTTGAGAAATTTTGGCTTTGGAAGTATTCTTTGGAGGAAGTAGGCAAGAAGTTTGCTCCCAAATGATAAGATTACTGTGCATATTCCTGCCTCTTCAAGCAAATGGGCAGAAATAAGCAGCAGCATGGTTTTTTACAAGATGGGGAAATACCTACCCCGTTAACAATTGAGATGAGTCTGGTGCAGCGCTCCTTCGGTATGTGAGGTTTTAAAACAAACAATACAATACAAATCCGAAGCCACAGTCTTTCAGTGTGCGAATGACAATAATTATCAATGTGACAACCATAATGATGCGCCTGCCTTCAGCTAGCTAAAGTAAATATTACTGAAATAGGATGCGATGGAAAAATCCTAATACCATAAACTTTGTTTCCCATGAAAAGTTTGTGTATTTCCCAGAGTTATTTTCATCTCTGCTTACAGGGGTAAAGTCAGAATGGAATTAGAAAGGGAAATGCTACTTGGGAATCTGCTGTTGCCGCTCTCATTTATGTTCGTGCTGCTACTCTAATGGAGCTACTGCAGTTTAGGGAATCTGTTACTTGGAAATGGACATTATATCGTTTTCTTAAAAAGAAAGACGGCTGTTCTTCAAGAAGTGATTGTACCGAGTTATACTAACCCCTAACACTGGGAGGAGAGACTTCCTGGCAAGCATCCCGTTGCTGGCAATGGGACTCGCTGCTGCTACTAACTTCAAGAGAGGCTAAATTAAACCACACTTTATTTGTGAGGACACCTTACCTGGCTGTATGAATACGTGTTGTATTTATATGTTGTGGTGTATGAGATCAGATATTGCCTATAAGGACTTTTTCATGTACCAGCTGTCTTTACTGGATTAGGTAAACTGTTGTTTAAAACGACGACAGTTCAAATCTGTATACAGTGCAGTAGTTTTGCTTGTTTTTCACTTTAACATTGAATGCATCATCTGTGTATGATGCCGGTTTTAAACATCATCAATTTCGTGCTGTCTCTTTATGTCACAGATTTTAAGAAGTAATTACAACAAGTAGCTATCACATTTCACTTCAGCTTTGTGATGAGAAAACACTGTTTTATTTTAAGGTTTTTTATTTTAAGTTTAAGTTTGATTGTGGTTTTTGTTTCTGTTTTTTGGGGTTTTTTTAAAGCCATTTTGACCCTTACAATCTTGCATCTTTTCAGACACAAATAAATTATTTATATATAGCAGCTTGCTTTTAGTTATCATTTAATTTTTTTCCCCCTTTTTAAGCTGCAGTGAAACCCTTGTCTCCTGCAGAACCGCTGAAGCTGCTAAATAATTTGGAATCACATATGAATTCAGATACAGAAAAGCAGGACTGCAGCCAAAGTTGTGATAAATCTGAAGAAAAAGACACTAATCCAGAAGTGAATCCTGCTGATAAAAGCAGGACAGAATATTTGTATGAAGATCCTGAGATGGAGAAAAACAAAGACAGTACTACTGGTGAAGGTATTTCTACAGGGGCTGAAGAAAGAATGTGTTATCAGCATGAAGGGGAAGTTGAAGAACTCAAGCCGCGCGATATGGATGGAGTAGAGGTTTCACAGTCTCCCTCTAAGGATGCATTACATTCAAAAATCAAGCATAGGCTGGCCCAGCTCCATATATCAACAGATTTAAACTTCACATCTGGTCTGGCTGCACAAGTTGCTGCCAGGTCTTTAGCTTTTACTACAATGCAAGAAGAGACTTTTGGAGATGAGGAGGAGGAGGAAGAGAAGACACAGGAGGGTGAAGACCTTGTGGAGGACTGTGAGAATGAAGATAGAGGCTCTGAAAGTGAAGGGAAAGTATAAGTCTGAGCTGAACTTTGTTAAACCAACAGCAGGCAATTTGATGGAAAAAACTAAGGTGGGGGTTTGAAGATGAAAATACTGGATGGAAAAAAAGGAGACCTAAATATAATACATCTTGTTCCCTAAGTCTGGTACACTAAATAGGACTTCCAAGTATATTGAAAATTTGCAGGTAAGAGAAGTTTAGGCTGCATCCAAGAAATAGTTGGCTGCTGCCTTTTTAAGATCCTACTGGTGGGTTTTGGAATTTACCTTTGTGTTTTCTGTTTTATTTATTTATATTATAATGTAATGTGTTTTTTTTTTTCTGAAAAGAAGGAAAAACAATGTCTTGAATTACAACAGACTCCTTTTTTTTGCTCTCTGATTCTGTTGTGTGGTATCGATGTTTGTTCCGACGAAAAAGCCAGGACGTTTCTTTTGGAAGAACCTGAACTGTTCCCTGTGATCTTCCCCCACCACTTCCGTTTCACTTCTTGTGTCTGCAGTGTGTTGGCTAAGCCACCGACGGCATTTGTGATTCTGTGGCTAGTGATGTGGCTCCCAACTAAAATGTAGAATTTTAAATAAAAACTTGAAAAAGCTAGTATTTGCTGTGTCCTGGGGTATGGGGCTGAAATAGTATGACGTTAGTCATGCTTCATATTAAGGTTTATTTAGAATTTTATGAAGGGTTAATAAATGATTTCTAGATGTTGTGATTCATGTTAGAGAAATATGTAATATGTGTTAGGGAGGGTTATAAGCACATCAGTAGAAAGTACTATAGACGGCTAGAAGCTATCTGTTGGATTGATAATAGATGAGAAGTAAATACCTATTTATTAAAACAGCTATTAATTATTTCTTAACCTTTTGTAAATTGAACCTTAATATAATTGTTTGATTTAATGATCGATTGTACATTTTTGTTTATGTCCTGAAGTAATTTTCTTAAAGCAAAATTATCTGAGTGTTTAACAACATACAGTATTTTGTTTAAACAGCATACTTGCTTTTCCCTAATGTTCTTTCGTTGTTCCTTAGATCACAACTATAACCTGTGCGATTAAGAATCCGTGAGAGAACAAGAATTGTGTATTTTCTAAGGTGTATCTTGTAACTTAGTTGACACTGAAGTCTGGATGTTTGGTATGAGGTTATGTGGGTTGTTTTTTTTCTCTGTGGTGGTGTTACGAGGAGCAGCAAACTGATGCTCACCTCACAGAGGAGCTGGTTAATGGTTTCACAGCCTTCTCTTCCTTTTGCCCTCTGACACAAAATGAAGCCAAGGTCTCATGTCGCTAATGGCGAGAGAGCCGCCTCTTTGTATGGAGTACGCTACTTGGACCTGGATACATTTCCAGTCACAAAACACCTCATCAGATACTTAGGGTATTTATTATCTCTTGCTGATTCTATAGAATAAAGGGGTTTTTAGATGCAAGTGGTTCGGAGCAGTATCTTTTCCTAGGATGCTGTCGTGGGAAGTGGGGAAGCTAACGAAGGTCAGCAGGTTAGGGTGGAACTCTTGACCGTATGTCAGAAAACAAGTGCTTTCTTTCAACCTCCCTCTCTTCTATTAGTGATTTTGTATGGGCGCTGTTAAATATGCGGATTTTTTCACAGACCATAAAGTGGTAAATATCAATTGATAGAGAAGGGAGTGCGTGACTTGCAGTGTTCTCTCACAATATGATCCCTGTCTTCTCCCTCACACACAGATTTTGGGAAGAGAATGTTTTGCCATTCTTCATTGACCAGTAACACTGTGTTCTGTGCCCTTAATTTTGTTTAAGTGACTGGAAGCTAAATGGATGATGTCCCGGGGAACTTGTAAAAGAAAAAAAAGATGCTTTGCATACTGTATTCAGAAGCTAAGCCTCCTCTTAGTGGTAAAGTATATTCTTCTGTAGGCCTGAAAAGGTTAGGCTAAGATGATGAAACACTGTTTCATTTTCTCTGTGGTAGCAATTTTTTTTAATCAAGTCTAGAACAACTGCTTTGGATAAATTGTGTTTGAAGCATTGTCCGTGCTTCTGAAAAAGAAGTCTTCCTCATCCTTGACTTGAGATCCTTGAGTTCACAAAGTGCCCAGATATTTTTTGTCCTAGCTAATTGTTCTGACTGCCTAAATGTATGTTCCATTAATATTTTTCCATGAACTCATCCACTAGCATCTCATGATCTGACGTTGCGTATCCCAGAACCGATACTCCTGAACTTTTCCCATGGGATCCAAATCTTAGTTTACAATGTGTACGGCTATGATACCAACTTGGAAAAATGATCAGATTTAGGATATGAATTACCGCTGTCCTCACAGTTCTGCATAAAGTCAGTAGCAGCATGAGTGCTTTGCATTGCTGCTAAAATAGGTTTCAGATCTCACACTTACAGAAGTTGCTAGCTCTGTATTCCTTTGCTGCCATCCTTAGCAAAAGACTTGGAGAATCTACTTTGGCAGCTCACTTGGGACCTAGTTTTATAACACGCTGGTCTTGGTGATGAAACCCGCCTAAGAAACCCCATCCATCATTAGTTGTTCATTTTCACCCATCAGCTGGGTCAACACAGGTTTTTGTGGCCATGTTATAAACCAGCTCACTGAGTCCACTTGGGTCAAAAATCCACCCTTTTTAGGGGTTATTTTTCACCATTCTTATTGCAGTAATGCAGTTTACAGCATTTACCTCCCAACAGCTGATCAGCACGTATTGTGTTGCTGGCGTGAGACTCGGGATCGCTCACATTTACGTTATTGGCAAAGATGGTGTAGTGTGAAATTACAGCCTTGACATTAGGCATGGGCATGATCAAAGGATGACTTTTTGGAGCAAGTTCTGATCCTACTTTGAACAAATACATTTTCTACAAGCAATTTAACTAATTTCCATGGTCTTACCTAATGCAGTCTTAGAAGCTGCACATACGAACACCTGGGCTCACTTGCTTTCTCTGCCTCTCATCACATCTATATATAACAGCCATCAGGTCATTTGTTTTGATTTATTTAATATTCTCCCTGCAGAAAAATATGGCTAACAGTGTATAGCACACAAAGCATGGCTTCCCTTGATTTGATAACCAGGTTCTATCTACATATAAATAGTCTGTTATAATCCAAATTTCCTCATAATTATGTCATTTGAAAGGACTGTGCATACATGCTGTAGATTCCTTCAAGAACCTGACAGATTTCTTGGCAATCATAATTTATTGTTGCATTTAAAATAATACATATCAACACACTGAAGTGTGCATTAGTGCTAAAGAGTTGTGTTAATATATTGAGCTTGTCGAGGTCTAAGTGCCGTCCTGTGTTCTTTGGCTCATTACCCTAGATAGGGGTTTTTGTGAAAACAGAACATTTACTTCTTAAAGCTTTGTAACTTTTTGAAACATGTTAATCAGGAAATCTATACTAAATAATGGGTTATGCCAAAGGATATCAGCAGCCAAAATTCTTTGCAAAGAGCAGAGCTAACAGTAAATACATTTTTCCCTATTCCATTTCCAAGTAGCAGCTCTGTGAAGTTGTAAAGAAGCAAGTAAATATATAGGATTAAATAATTTCTTCTCCTCCTGTCCTACCTGGAAGGCACTCCAAAGATGATATTTGCTTCTTAGGTTGGATTGCAATCCAGCACTACGTCTTTTATGTCACTTAACTTTACAGCTAAAGATCTAGGTAGAGGCTTAAATGGGGGCAAAGATCTGTGATAAGAAGATTACTTGTCCCTTTTTTTAAGTGTATGTCTTCATGACAGAAAGGAAACAGCGGTGCAATGGAAGCAAATTTTGAGAATTCCAGATAATCGAGCATCTTTCAAATGGAGTCAAATGTGCCTGTGTCAACTCTAAGCAAGATTCGCGAATGTGAAGGCTTCTGCTGTCGGTTGCAGTAATGAGACAGTTTTACTCTCCCGACAGAGGATTACTAGTCATCACTGAATCCTGCACTTAGTTTTCTAAATACAAGATGGAATCTGGTAGAGTAGCCAGTTTTACTGAGGTTTCAGACTATGTCCTGAGCACACCTATCTGTGTGTGACCTGACTGTTCGTTTACAGTATTGGAAATTTTATGTGTATCTAAAGTGCAGAATTTGCAACTGTCTTATTAATTTCTTTGGTAGTAAAAAGACATCTAAATGGTGGACTGTGTAGAGTTGTTGGCCCACACTGAACTTTGTAATCTTGTAGTCTATTCCTTTTTTTCTTTTTTTTCCCTTTTTTTTTTTTAACAGAAACAAGGGGTCAAACTGCCCTTGTTCTTTAAAGTATTTAGTGAAGGGCTGCTGTTGCTCTGCAAGTGGCTTGTTCCCAGGGCTAATTACTCTTTAGAATTAACAGGTTTTCATACTGTCTCATTTCAAAAAGCGGGCAGAGTGTGAGAAAGGCACTTGGTCAGCGTAAAGGGTCAGGCTACTCTGGGATCTTGCCTGTGACAGGGGCTAACAGCAGACGCTGAGGGAAGAGGATGAGAAAAGGGAGATCATGTAGTGATGTTTCCCCAGGCTACTCCCCAACAATTTGTGGCTCAGGGACTTCTTGAGCCAGTGGTGGTGTCGCCAGTGGTGGTGGCTGTCAGCTTAACGGGTCCCGATGGAATTCTCTTCCATAAATTCATTCAGTCTCATGTTTGGCCAATTATTACTAGTCCCAATGCCAGTATGCGCTCATCTTTATGTCTTTTACAAATAAGATCTGTCAATAATGTTTTTTAATTTTCTTTTTTAAACTGAGCAAGCCCACTTCTCTCAGTCCTTCCACAGAGGTCAAGTTTTCCACCTTTTGGTTGCTTTCCTTAGAAATCTGTCTAGTTTTTGAAGTATAATGACCAAAGTGTGGTGCAGTACTCCAGACATAGCCTCAGCAGTGCTGAGTATGGAGTAATAATCACCTCCCATAAAACACTGAACCATTCAAATATATTTGAGTCCGTATAGGAAAAAAATCTTTTCAGATCTTTTACCCCTAGCAATTAGGATGACAAATGAAAATATTTGGTCTAATGGAGGAGACGTATTTATTCACTGTCAGCAGGGTTTGGCTGGACAGAGTTTTTCTTTGCTAACAAAACAAAAAGTTGTTAAATCAAAATGATCTTCCAACAGCTGCCACCTGGTCTGACACAAACTAAAGATGCCAAACAACACTTGTTTAAATTCCAGCTTGACTTTTCAGAGCTGTTCTGGTCTCTGATGAATAAGCATGTATCACAAAATGTATTATCACACAAGAAACATGACAGTGGATATATGGATATCAGAGATCAAACTGAAGGCTTCTGTGGCTAATTTTTTAAATGCTTGGAGGTGTGCTTTATTCATATTCTCATGATATTTAATTCCCTCATGTATATGTTTTTGTTTTGCCACCTTGAATTTTAAATGCCAAAAAATACACTTTGATTTCTTTTACTTGGAAATTTGTGCAGTAATCAGATAAGTGGTAATGGTACTGTAACTGTGATAATAAGACAAGGTCATAGCTAGGGGCGAAATCTACCTACCATGAACTTTGCTTTGCAGACGGATACAGCAAGCTAGTTTGAGCTACAGATCAGTATGTAACTGTTCTCGACACTTTGCCTCACCTTTCATACTGCCATCTCTTAAGTTACTGGCACGTTTGTCAGAATAAAACTTGTCTCAACAGCTTGAATGCTCTGTTAGCCCACGTTACACTTTCTGAATTGAACGTAGGATTCCGAAGAAGTGACTCTAATTTAGTAGATGAGGAAAAAGAGTTTGTTTCTCTGTTACAAAGTGGCTTATTTTAAAAGGGTTGAATAGGACCAAACTTGAATACTTTCAGATGATCAGTATATTTTGACCTTTATACCTTCTCAGCTTTAAATCTCAAAGGCCTCACGGACAGACTCCTTTAGGGGATGCAG